ATATGGGTAATCAGAACGAACTATTCGCACACTGGAAGATATGTCAAGGCTTGTATTCTAGATTTCAGAGGGCACTGGGACGACCACTTACCTTTTGATAGAGTTCGCTACAGTAGTAGTTATCAGACAAGTATTGGTATGACTCCGTATAAGGCATTGTATGACTGATCTTGTAAGTCACTGATCTATTTAGAAGAGGAGGGTGACAGAAAATTAATTGGCCTAGATATTATAAATGAGACCACAATGAAAATTGCCAAGATCAGGAAAAATATATAAACGGTTCATAATAGACAAAAAAGTTATGCAGACACACGAAGGAGATGTTTAGAATTTGAAAAATGCGATTGAGTGTTCCTTTAGGTCACCCCCTTTAAGAGAACCACCAAGTTTAGAAAGAGGAAAAAGTTGAATCCCTGGTTCATCAGATTATTTGAAATTTTGGATAAAATTGGGATATCCGCTTATAGACTAGCACTATCTCTAGATATATTCAGAGTCCATAACATTTTATTTGTGTCGATGTTACGCAAGTATAACCCTGATATCTCGCATGTTTTGTTTTATAAACCACTTCTATTTCAGGAGGATTTATCTTATGAAGACGTACCGGTTAGTATTTTGGACCGAAAAAGCAGAGTATTTCGCAACAAACAAATCCCTTTTACCAAGATCTTATGATAAAATCACTCTCAGTACAAGACCACCTGGGAGTTGGAATCAAACTTCAGGCTCAAATTTCCTCAATTGATTGACTAGGGGCAATAATTTGAGGAACCAAATTTTTTTAAAGGGGAAGAGTTGTAATATTCTGAGCTCAAGATTTAGGTTCGAGATGACATAATTTAATATTTTTTAATAATAATAATAATAGTTAATTTTAATTTTTTTGAGAAATATGAATTTTGAATGAATGTGAAAATAATTTTAGAAAACATGGCAAAACTGTAAATAAAAGGAGAGTGTATTTGAGAAAAAAGTTTGAAAACGAGGGCCAAACCGTGAAAAGGAGAAATGCAGCCATGTGGGATAGCCACGTCAGTAGCACAATAAGTCAGAACACGCTGTATGGTGGACATGCTGACATGGGCTTCATACAGGAGCCACGCAAGCTATCCGCATGCCTGGCTGATCCAACGGCTTGTGTTCAGTTTTGCGCACACGAATGGTACGGATTGACTTCCCAAATAAGTGTGATCGGATGGTCCACACGTCTTTGATTGAATAGCCCAGATTTATCCCCCTATTAGGCGTGGTTAAACTGCTGAGGAGGCACCGTGCGGACCCGGATGGACGACCTAGATCGAGGGAAGGGGAGTATTTATAAGCCTTTTCCATCGAAACCCTAGCCCTATCCACAATCCTACTCGCCGGAGAAGAAGAAAAAAGGCAAGTGGAGGAGAAGCCTAGCCACCGACACCGCCGCACTGGAGACCTAAATCACATCCGTGAGTGCAGTTTTTCTTCTCTTTCTTTTCATTTCTCTGCGCTTTAACCCTTTAACATGTTTTTTATGCAGATTAGGCAAAAACAACCACGACCCATGAGGAAGGAACGACGGAGCTCAGCTGAGCCGTCACACTAGAGACCAAAAAATGCTTTAGTAAGTTGTATTCGGTTTTTGTTCACTTCGTTTTCCTCCCTTTCAACCGTATAACTTGTTTTCGATGCAAGGTGACCGAAAAACCCACAAACCACGAGAAAGGAATGGCAGAGCCTAGCTGAGCCACCGCACTAGAGACTGAAATACACTGGTAAGCCTTAATTTTTCCCCTTTTTCCATCGATAGACACCCTTAATCATGATTTAAACAAGTGTTTATGAAGAACTAGTTTAAAACGACCTAACTGAGAGGGGGGAACCTCCAGAGAAAGGGGACCCAACAGTGGAGCATGGCAGCGCCACTACGCCAAAAACCTAATCCGACCCCCTGGTGAGATTTTTTTGTCATTTTGGCCGTTTTTTGCATATTTTCACTTTTTTTTTCGTAAGCTGTAATTTTAGCAGAAAATCCAAAAAATTTAGGAACTGAAAAATCATTGGAAAACGTAGTGAAAAAGACGATGTTCTGGACATTGACTTAAAGTAAGAATCCCTCACCCATTTTTCCTATTCGGTAAAATTTAAGATAAACGGATAAATAAATGGAAAATTTAGTTAATATGCGGTCCTCTAAGTGACTAAAGTATAGGTTGCCAATAGAGCAAGTAACTGGTCAGTTTACATCTATTTGAGTTTTAATTGCAATAAATATCTCTACTATTATTTATTATGCTATTTTGTTCACTGTACTATTTACTTTGATATATTTGTTCTGAATTCTACAGCGAACGTGGTAAGATCTCTTTATACATTTTGTCCTATTATTCAATTGTGCGTTTAATAGATTTGTATTAGTATGATGCATGTTTATTTCATGTACTTACCCTAAAATGTGAATTCATTATTCACGTGGTTGGGATACAGATGACGTGTCTCTTAGGGTTAAATAACAAATAAAAGAAATCATATGCATAATTAATAGTGTCAAATAAAAAGCGCTTACCGGGTGTCTTGGAAAGAAGTGTACAGACTTGCAGCATAGGATAAACCCTACTATGGACATTACTCTCAGTCGAACGAGATTGAAAAGTTTCATACTAAAAGGGGTTGAGAATTATTTTTCATATCGAACGATATATTAAGGTAGTTGTGTGTTTTGGCGCCTACTATTGGACGAAGTATGAGGATGATCGTTTGATTATAGAATGAATGCTCGTGTTCACGTGTAGTGGAGGGACCTCTATGGGCCCCTAAGCGGCACCGGTAGTCAAGGTAAAATGATAAAGATGAATGAGATAGGAATTCAGTTTAGGAAAATAATGAAACGTTAAGTATTATATGTCATTGAAATACGCATTGTAGGTTACTATCCTGATATTTACCTCAATAAATAATATTTAAGAACGTACGGATGAGTTAAGAAAATTAACATTTTTAGTTAAACGGATTTTATTAAAAATGAGCTTAATTTGTTGTTTTACGATTTTTACAAATATTTGATTTCCATATCAATGGTAAGACATTGATATTTTTACTGAGTTAGTGTAATTCAACTTCTATTATTAACCATTTCAGATCAAGACGACCAAGATGCGAATCCAGAACAACAAGAAAACTAGTTAGAAGATTGACTCTTCGTTTCTCCAGTTTCGAGCGGATGTTGATCACATTTATTTTCTTTATTATTCTTTTTCATTTATGTCTTCCAAAGACATTCTTATAACCCTATTAAGTATTTTAAATAAACTGTGCAAGGAATGTGAGCATAAACTCTAAATTACTTCTGCTAAATTATAAATTTTAGTATTGTGTTATTCTACTATTTCTAGGTTACACTGTAAGAATCCTTAGGGGCCTGAACTTTTAGATAAAATTAAAAATTTTAATTTGAATAAAAATTTGATCAAATTTATCTTATACTCACATAAAAAGAAAAAAAATATTATAGATAAATAGTTTAAATTATTATATTATATTAAAATTAACAACTATTAAAAATATGCTTCTTAATTGATTTTAATTATATATTAAAATTTTTAACTATTGTACATATTAATGGAAAGGCCTTCTAATTATTAGATTTATTTTAATATCTATTGAAAATTAACATGAATAAAATGTAGAATTTAGTAATTATGTTTACGAACTAAGCATTTTTCTGATCTGCATGTATAGTAAAAAGCTAAAGGGCTCATCATGTTCTTGCTAAAGACGACAAACAGCTGTAATTGCTATGTAACGAATGAGGGGTCTTATTCTTTTTTTTCTGTTTGTACCCACATAATTCAATAACACTACTATGCTTTCTTAGTTTCTCTCTTTCGGGTTAAAAATTCTTAAACAAATTATTTGACTGAGAAATACTATCTTTAAAATTTTCTTCTTTTTTTTTTTTAATAATAAAAACAAACTGTAGTAATTTTTTAAACCCTAAAAAGAAAGTAGAATTTGAAATCAATAACAATTTAGGAATTATTAGAGCAAATTCTTGACTTAATTATGAGGACTTCAAACTATAACAATCAACTAAGCATGCATATTTATAGTCGCATACAAATTGTCATCATCTGTACACTGAGCAAGAAAACAGACCAATTTCAATTTCCTGGTTTTCTTCTTCTTCTTCCTCTTCTTCTTGTTTGTTCTTTCTATGTTTCCTTTCTCAGAGAACATCATCAAACCTTAAAAACCAGCCACCACTATCAGCTGGATGATAAAAACCAATAACATCGAGATTCTGTAAAACTAACAGTACACATTTGATTACATTACACTCTTCTCTTTTGAGCCGAGTGCAGAACCAAATTCATCTTGAAAACCTATTATTGTCTTCTCCTTCCTATTCAAGTCCAGCTAAACGCAATTGGACTACCAACAGTCCGTTTCCCATCTGACCATTCTAGTCGACCGAAGGAGTTGGTATTAGAAGCCATGGAGCTTGCAGTGAAGGTGACGGTGTATGTTTTCTTCTCGTTCACTTCCCCGAACTGTAAAGTCGGCGGCTCGACGGAGATCTTGACAGCTGTCGTTTCCGATGACATTGAAACTTTGTACGTTCCTGGTGAGCCTACGTTTGTAAGAGTTCGCGTGTATTTGAACACGCTAGTGCCACCACTGCCCATCCGCGTCGGGTCGATGTTGACTGCGAATGATGGGTAATTAAGGTCATTCACACTGTATTTCCTGCTCGCGTCACATGTGAATTGTCTTCTTGCTACGCTGTTGATCTGTGATTCTGTGTAATTCAATGCGCAGAGAAAGCCAAGATAGTCATCGGCGGCGAGATCGTAGACCAGTCCTGGGTTTAACGCCGCCAGAGGATCGACGTGTCCGGCGCCGTGGTCGAATGGAGTAGACGGTTTCCCGGTGGCGATGTCTTGAATGCTGTTCCCGTTCTTGTAGACTATGTAGGCGGTGGTCATGAGGGCTGACCTGATTGCCGCCGGGCTCCAATCTGGGTGAGCGCCTTTGACCAGAGCTGCGAGGCCGCTCACGTGAGGACACGACATGGAGGTGCCGGAAATAATATTGAACTCCACGCGCCGATCGTCCGTTGCCAACCCTGTGGGTCCCACAGATCCCGACCATCCTGCTAAGATGTTGACTCCTGGTGCGATCAAGTCCGGCTTCAGAATTTCCGGCGTGATTGAGTTGGGTCCTCTCGAGCTAAAGGCAGCCACCACCGGCGACGGCTCAATCCCCACTTTGGTCCCTTCAAAGAGAATTGTGACGGTTGGGTTATGATCTGACATTAAATACTTTCTAACTGCGTCGCCGGATTTTTGACCCACTGCCGTCGCCGGCAATAAGTGGGCGTCCGCCACTAGCTCTTCACCGTTTGCTGCAGTATTGGCTAAAACCATCCCGGTGCCACCTGCGGCTTTGACGACAAGTCCTTTTTGAACTCTAGCGTTAACTCCTCGATCGCATAAGACAATTTTTCCGGCTACTTTCTCTGGAATCAAAGTACCCATCATGCACAGGTTCCCATTTGTCGCATTGCTCGCGTTGCCGGCGTAAATAAATGGCAACAGCTTTCCGGGCAGAGACATGCCTTTGTAAAGGGACACGCCGGAGTAGTTTTGGCCATTGCCGAGACTTACAAACGCCGGGAAATCACGATCCAGTGTGCCTGCACCTACGGTTGTGATCCATGGCGCCACGTTCGATAAACTGTACGGGCTCGGACCAGCATTCCCGGCAGAGCAAGAAACCAGGATCCCTTTCTCCATCGCCGCAAAAGCTCCAATCGCCACACTGTCCCTGTAATAATCAGACATGCCTCCACCAAGCGACATGGATAAAACATGAACGTTATCCTCGATGGCCTTGTCCATGGCGGCCAATATATCGGAGCTGAAACAACCACCCAGCCAGCAGACCTTGTAAACCGCGACCCTTGCGCGCGTCGCCATCCCACGCGCCGCCCCTTCAGCGTACCCGAATAGGCTGGCTCCGGATACCGCCGACCCGCCGACGGTCGTCGACGTGTGGGTACCATGACCGTCGTCATCTCTCGGTGACCTCGACTCCTTGGATTCATCAATCGGGCCCATCGTGGCCTCGTAACCTCTGGCGAAGAACCTTGCACCGATCAATTTCCTGTTACAATTCGAGGCACTGAAGTTGGTGCCTGACTCGCACGCGCCTTTCCAGGTACGTGGTATAGGATCAAGTCCTGTGTCATCAAAGCTCTTGCTCTCAGGCCATACACCAGTATCCAACACGCCAATAATCACTTCACTCACTGAGTTGGACTCGGGAAACGCATCGGCGTTATCTCCAAGTCCAAGGAACTGAGGGGTCCGAGTCGTGTGCAACTCGTACTTCAATTCAGGCAGGACGGAGAGAATACCAGGCTGAACCTCAAGCAATCGCGCTTCTTCCGAGGTTAACCGAGTTGAAAATCCATGGATCACGTTGTCGTACGTGTAGAGCATCTCGGCTGAGCCGGAAACCGATTTGAGTGACGAGTCATACCAGTGCGACTGGTGGGTGAAACTCTCCGGCATCTGGGATTTCGCCATGTGTACTATGTAAGTCGTCCTCTTGCTTCCATTACTCCCCTCCGCCTCCACCGCCGCCGCATCGAACACGTTGCAGAGACCCAGAAGAAGAACAACTAATACATTAATCATAACAGAGACATTAACCCATTTCTCCATTTTTTTTTTCTCTCTGTTCTTCACTCCCTCCGAGTTAAGCGAGGAAGAGACCCAGAGAAGACGAACCAGGAAGATTGTTAAATAGAGAAGATGGAAGAGTGTGAAAGAGAGAAGAGAAAGAAAAGTGGGGACGGTGGGGAGTTGTCAGGTTCCTTGAATGATTGCTTTGAGACAAAAAGACGAGAAATTATATAGTAATTACAATTTAAAGAAAGCTGATTTTTTAGCCTTGAACAAACATGTGACACTCCAGCTTTTATCCATAAATACCAGATCTTCTCACTCACACAGTCCCTTCATTTTCCCCCACTGTTATCTTATTTGCTTTATCTTTTTCAGTTTTCCTTTATCAGATAAAAGAAAAGCATTACAGAACCAGACAACCAGTAAACCCACAAGCCCCATTACATACCCTTTATTGGGTATATATATTTTTATCATTAATTTTTCTTTTAAGAGTTGCTGGCACCATTAAAATGTTTTATTTTTTTGAAGAAAACAAATTATTGATTTTTACAGGTTCTGGTTCACGGGTGCGTGTCCCTTAGCGTATTATTCTTGCTTTGTTTATTAATTTCCATGTTTTACTTTTAAATTAATTTCAATTTTCCAGTAACGGGTGACTCGCCATTATAATTCACTGAATCACTAACATTAACGTGTTAGCTATTTGGAGGTTTACCTGCCAACTAACCTTTCCCTTCTCCAAATAAACGTACCAAAACGACTTCACGGGGCGACTTTCAGACTCCGCGTTTTATTTTCTTCATATGCTCTTATATCCATTAATTAAATAATAAAATTTTTAAAACTATAATATACATGATTTGAATTTTTAATTTTTTTTTTATAAAACGCATAATTTCATTTAAAACAAAACTGCAAAACTAGCTTAGACAATAAATTTTGTATTATAAGATATTTGACTAAAAACCCTCTTGCGCGTCAATACACTGATCAATATTAAATTATCAGTCCAGCTGCTTGTTAAATTTTGGAGTAGCGTGTCATCTCTGAGTTTTTTGGGGGTGTGGGCCGGGGTTCACGTGCACCCTTTGAGCGGTTCTGATTAATTTATTATTAACCGTCCGATTTTAAAACTTTTTTTTATCAAACGTTTTGTCCCTGTCTCGCCAAAATATGACCTCGAGTCAAGATCGGCCGTATCAACCGTTCAACATTATTTTCCTAGTTGTGTCTGGTTCACACTATTAAAGACTATGCTTTGATTTGGTGAGCTCGAGTAAGTGAACTTAACTCACCGCACTTTCTATCTTAAATAATAATTTTTTTTTTATCAATATATTTATAATAATAAGTTATTATTAAGTATTAAATATATAAAATAAATAAATATTTAATTAAATTATTTATTATCGTAAATTGAAACTCTAGATATGCTGTTCGATATTATCTCTCAATAATTTTAGGCGTCCACGTCTAAGATTAAGATAGACTTTATTTGGACGATTTCATAATTCTTTTTTGGGTCAAGTTTTTAAATTTGATGTACGCAATCTGCCTCTAACAAAATTCGGGCATATGCATCTTCTTTTTTATATTAAAATAATGGGAATTGATCCCATTAATTTTTTTTTAAAAAAAAATAATATGTCATGTATGTAATTTAAATTAATTAAAATAAAATATTTAGAGCTTTAATTATGATAATTTGAATTATCTTCTCGAGAATAATTATTATAATACCAGTACAATGACCGAACACTTTCCAAACCACTTGATTTGATGACCGTGCATTTAATGAGCCATGGTGATCTTAACAATCGTATCAATATTTTTTACGTTTGATTTTATTTTTATTTTTTTAAAAAAAATTAGTTATTTAGTATATAAAATGAATCATTAGGTGAATTGCACCTTTGTCTATTAATAAATAAATAATAATAAAATATATAATTTGAACTAGCTATAAAATTAGTGTAAAATTAAATTTCATTTTAAGTTCCGTGTTGGTACTCCTCTTTGAAAGCACCTCCTTTTTAGTTTGGGAATTAAATATTGTAGTAAAATGTGAGTCTTGTAAAAGTCAAATAATAATAATTGAATAAATTAAAACATCAATTACTACTCACTCCGTATATATTATTATTTAAATGTTAATATTTACTTATTGAATATATATTATCTAATTAAATATATTAATTTTTTACTTTTAAAAAAGAGTTTAAACTCTACAAATAAATTGATAGGAGAATATTGTAATTTAACTTTTTTTTATGGGTAAGTGCGTTTTTTTTTAAATTACTTTCTACACATGAAATCTAAAATTTAATTTTATCCAAATCGTCACATGCTGTGACTATGGAATTAAAAAACAAAAAATTAAAATGTGGTGTTTAAAATCCCACTCGAAATTATAATTAACGGACGTATATTAAAACTATCTAATCACATGGTTTGATTATATGTATATTAATTAATTAATTAGTTAATTAATCACTCTGTTAAATGGTCAACACTCGCAGTTTAATTAATTAAATTCCCAAAGTATCTCCTGTAGGATGGGGACAAAATTGCAACAGCCAGTTTCTTTCACGAATGTAGACCAGATAGTCTCCTGCATGTGCACCCCTTCATAAGTTTATTTATTTATTTATTTATCTATTATTATTATTATTATTATTATTATTATTTATTTTTTCATTTCCAGCCTACTCTAACCACCTTGTCTTTTACTTCTCTTTATTATCTTTGTTAACTTTGTAACGGTCCCGAAAATTTAAAATGAAATGTGTATTAAAAATATCAAATGCGAGGGCCGTCCCCATACCCCGTCCGGTATGGGCGCCAAAACTATAAACCTCATTACTCCGTCCGGTATGAGGGTGAAACGGGCCGTCCTCATACCCCGTCCGGTATGGGCGCAAAAACACATAAGGTCTCCATACCCCGTCCGGTATGAGAGACCACAATCCCGGTAGGGTTCCCTACGGACCCGGTCCGTCCACCATCTCCCAAGATATCCAGTCAGGCTGACCACATTATACAATTATCAATTTACATAATCTTTCATTCTCCTTTTCCTCAGTCAGCATCATCAATTTACATACAAACAAGCAAACAGTAAATTATGCCAAACAAGACAACATACAGCATCGGTTTCTCAGTCATTCAACCCATAATCAATAAAACAGTAAAATATGCACGCGAAACAATGAAATGAAAACATCAGACCTCATACTGCATTTAAAACTGTAAAATACGCTAAATAATAGTTAACTGACAAACACACTAGACTCGGGCTCCATTAGCGACCTTAAGCAATTTTACACATTCGTTGATTCAAGAAATACCGTTTTATCATTATTGAACCTTAATACCGTGATAGGAAATAGGGTGAGGGGTCCTTACTCGTTTCGGGGTCCGAACACGGCTTCACAGTGCGCCTACAGACTGTCCCTATTTTCCCTGAATTTTTTCCGGGGAACTGAAACGCACTACTGGTACCTGCACGTGTTCCAAAAAATCCCAAATTAGGCCCAGGGCCCCTTTTTGGCCAATATCGCAATTTCGGCACGGCGGCGATTCGCCTCGAGTTGGCTGTTTTCGGTCATTTCCAGCCGAATTCGGCCACACTTGCATCGGTTCTTGCGATAAAACAACCCTAGGGCCCTCGGGGGGCCAAAAAATTACGGAAAACCGAAGCTTACCGGCGGCGGTGCTCTCGGGTGCGGCGGCTCTCCGGTGAGGTTCGTGTTTTGGTGATTCGGCTCCGATCAACCTGTAGAGAAAAGAATGGTGATCACGGTGATATAAAAATTGCATCAAACGGAGGCCGGGAAGGGCCTCATCGGAGGCAAAAACTAAGGAGGGGCGCGGTGGCGCCGCTGGGTTTCAGCCGTGTTTTCTGGCTGTTTGGCCGGGATTTTGGCTCCGATTTGGCCACAGGAGAAATCAGCGTGGAAAAACGAGTCAGGGGTATGAAATTTACCTCGATCGGCGGTCGAAAATCTCCCCGTTGCGGCGGCGGGTGGCGGCGGCCGGCTTCTCCGGCGTCTGGTTCGTCTTCTCCGGCGAGGGCAGGCGGCTAGGGTTTTTGTGGTCAGGTGTGGGGGTTCTATTTATACCCTTTTGCCTTTTGATCTCAGCCGTCCATTTTGATTTAATCTGGGCCGTCCGTGCGATTGCATCTGGGCCGTCCGTGCGCACGCTTGATCTAGGCCGTCCGATCTCGCGTACGCGGATCGCCAACGTGGCCCGTCCCCGGTCGACGTGGTCTTGCCACGTGGTAGGTCCTGGTTGGCCATGACTGCTGACTGGGTCTGCTGACGTGGCTGCTGACGTGGCACGCTTTTTTTTTTCTTAATAAAAATATTTAATAATAATAAAATAACAAATTTTTCGGGCGTTACAAACTTTCTTATGGTAAGTAACGAAAATATAAACGAATGCCTTCGTGAATTTTTTAGATCGATTTTTTTTTTTTAAAAAAAACTTATATCATAATATATAATAATTTTAATATAAATAATATTATATCATAATACATAATAATAGTAAAAAGAGTTTTATTGGTTATAAAAAAATATCTAGGGTTTAGATTTCATTCTTTTAGGAAGAGAGCTTGTCACCTTTTATTTTCGGAATAATATGTTATTAAAA